TGTTCAGTCTGTGCACCATTTCTCCTTGGATATGGCTGGTGTGGTGTCAGCTTTCTAACCACAAAGATCCCTGGGCTAGACACAGCAATGTGCTTCCAAGTTGGTAAACAGGTGCAAAGTCTTGCTTTTCTGTGCTTTCCTCGCAGCAACCCAAAGGTCCAGGTGGAGGCCATTGAGGGGGGAGCTCTGCAGAAGCTGCTAGTAATCCTGGCCACGGAGCAGCCTCTTACTGTAAAGAAGAAGGTGGGTTTCTGCTCCCTTCCTCCTGCCCAGCCCACCTGTAGAAGCTGAAAGGCAAGCGTCCCTTTCCAGGCTGTTCATGTCACCTTTGGGAGCCTGAGTAGTCATCTGCTGGGTGGTGTAGGGGGAGTGATCCTTCTTATCTAAAGCAGCACAGCAGCATGGGTGCAGTTCTCACAGTGTGGTCTCAGGTTCCACACCCTGGCATCCTGCCACGGCCTTCTCTTTGTCCACTGGGTGATGATGAAGGCAGCTCTCCCAGACTTGGGTTTTGGGGTGTAGCCATACCTGAGGGTAGTGCATGGTGCCAGGAAGAAAGAGGGCTGGGCTGGGGTAGTCGATGTACTTCCTGCTGCTTTTTCTGGGCCTTGGGGCAGGGCCAGCTCTGCGTGGCCTCTGACCCCTCACCCGTCTGGATCTGCCTCCCCAGGTCCTGTTTGCACTGTGCTCCCTGCTACGACACTTTCCCTATGCCCAGCAACAGTTCCTGAAGCTGGGGGGGCTACAAGTCCTAAGGAGCCTAGTGCAAGAGAAGGGCACGGAGGTGCTGGCCGTGCGTGTGGTCACCCTGCTCTATGATCTGGTCACTGAGAAGGTGAGTGCCTAGGCCTGCCTTGCCTCCCCCTTTGCTTTGTGTTTGCTACTGGCCATTTGACCCTGGCCCTCTCCCATGTCTCTTCCATTCACCTCTCCATCTTCATTAGTGAGTGTTTCTGATCAGACATGCCAGCTCTGAGCTGGGCAAACAGGTATGCTTTGGGGGCCTCTCCTCCGGGCCCTGAACCCAGGATTTCTGAGACATCAGGGAGGATAGCCTGTGGGAAATGACTGCTAAACTTTGAAACACATGGGCTGATAAGGACAGAGAAAAGGGAGGGGTGCTGGCCATGGTCAGGGCAAAGTGTGCAAGCCCAGGGGTCAGAGGGATTGAAGTCCAGAAATAGCCAGGATCTGCCCTTCATGGAATGGAAGGTCATTGGGCTGAAGCATAGGATGGGGTGATGAGCAGGTAAGGATGGAGCAACTCTGTCTGTGAGCCATCACAGCAGCCAGGAGACCAAGGAGCCAAAAGCTGGGATGATGCTGAATCTTAAGATCCTGGAAACCTGGAGTTGACTCCTCTGGGAGCTTTGGCTAGGAGCACAGGCTCAGGATGGCTGCCCTGGAAGGCCCTGGGGACCCCAGGCGCTTGCCACTTGGGAGGAGACTTGGTGCCTAGCCCACTATGGTTTTTGTGAGCCTAAAAAGTGTCATAATTAAGGAGAGAGTAAAACAAGCTAGGCCTGGATTCTGCATTCAGCTGCTGCAGAGCGCATTGGCAGGGCTTTCTCAGCTGCCTGTCTAAGGCCACACTCTCCGTAGAATAACCAGATTGCAGATGGGTGAATCAGGCCTGGCACCCACTGGAACCACTGCTGAGTGTTGGAGGCTGAGGGCTCAGCCCTCTTCTCTGCCTCTCCCCTGTTCCATGTACCCCTGCTTCAGGCTGAGGGTCAATGTTGTCTGTTGCTGCTTCTGTCAGCTATTGCTTTTGTGTGTGCTCGCTCCCTCCCTCTGCCTATCTCTCTCTGTCTGTCTTGTCTCTCAGTCTGTTTCTCTCTCTCTCTCTGTTCAGTCTCCCACCCCCTACCACCTCCTTTAAGCTGCAGAAACCCGGTTTCTCAAAACAGCAGGCAGCCATGTGGTGCTCACATCCAATTAATAAGGCCCTGGGCACAGCTGACATCCTGGGATTGGGCCAGCAAGGCTGGAGAAGGACATGTACGTTGGCTGGAATTTCCCAGGAGAAACTGATCTCTCTCCTCTGGTGTCTTGGGTGTCTCTTTGCTGCTCCCAGCCCTGACGTGCAACCACTGGGTAGCAACCCAGTGAGCAACCCCAGAGAGCAACCACTGGGTAGTCTCACCAAGTCTGCCCTGTCAGCTGTCCCAGGAGCCTGCCTTTGAGGCTTTGGAGCACTGTGAGGATCAGGGAGGGCCTGGTGTCTCTGTAGCAGTACAGAGGCAGCCAGGCTCCTGCAGCTAGGGGGCTTTAGGACTAGAGGAGTTGGGTCTTCTCTGTTCCTTTGGTTCCTCAGAGGGAGTAAAGAACTAGCCAGACTGGGGATGTGTCCCGAGCCACCTGAAAGTGGAAGCGTGTCAGGTTCTCATTGGGAGCACATGTTAGGTGTGGGGAAGCAGGAGCTGAACTGCAGGATTCACACGGAGAGTGTGGTCGGCAGCCCACGTCCTCTCATGCCTCATGGAGCTGAAAGGCCACAGAGTGACCTGCCCCCTGGTTCCTTCCACAAGTGTTGACTGGGTGTCTGCTCTGTCTGATGCTGTGCCAGGTCTGTGGTCCCTGCCCTCCTGGTACTTTCAGGCAGATACTTATCAGAGAATCACCTAGAGCATGTCATGTAGGCCTTGGAGGCTTATGATCAGAGCCCCAACCTTTCTCCTCAACCAAGTCAAGGGAGGTGCTGAGATCTGACGGGTGAGTTAAGTTAACTGAAGAGTTTGGTTGGGTGAGAGTACACCTTGAAGTGGGAGCTATACCTACAAAGGCCATGGTGGAGAGGTAGTGTGACAGGGGCCAGAGTGAGGGCATGTGTAGGGACAAGGCCAAGTGCAGGCAGGAGCAGGTCCTGCAGGACCTCAAAGTCCCAGGGAAGAGATTAGTGTTTATCATCAGAAATGCTATGTTGTGAAAGATTTGGAACTGGGCAGAGGGCTGAAGGAGGCAGAGAACTGAGGGCCCTGGGATATGTTTTGGAGGTGGAGCTGGCAGGACTCAAGGTAGGGCAAGAAAGGACTACCATATCCCTCTCAGCTTTTTCTGTCCCAGGACGGTGACCTCCACCCACCCCCTGCTTCCTCCACCAGCCCCAGTGGGCCCCAAGGCCATCAGGTGGTCCACTGTGGCCCCTGATCTTTTCCTGGGCATCCCTCATGCCTTCTCTGTCCCCTGCATGCCTTATCCTCCCCTGGAGTTAGGGCAAAGACTCTTCTCACAGGTACATTTAGTACAACCCTTATGGGGCATTTCCACCTCTGCCAACCCTCGACCTCTGCATAGCCTTCCTCTGACATTTGAAATAAGCTGCTAACTGCAGATTTTGGGTGTTTCCTTTCCTGCCTCTGGCAGCCTGGCAGGATGGGTTCCCACCGCATTCTGAAGGGGCTGGGTTTTTGTACTTTGTAGACACAGGCCAAGCATATGACTTCCTGCCTAAACTTTCCTCAACTCCCCAGACCCTCAACATAAAGTCCGCCCTCTTTGGATCTCCCAGGCTCTGTTCTGTGTCCCATTGACCAGCACGGCCTGCCATTCTCCAAACATGAGATAGGCCCAGGCCAGTTGCAATCCTTCTGTGTGTGGACTCTCCACCCTTATCCTCTTGGACAACTCCCACTTACCCCTCAGCACTCAGGGAAATGCCATCCTCCTCTGTCCCTCATCCTCTGAGGGAGTGGATCTGTAGTGGTGGCAGTGATGCCTTTGTTGCTGACCTAGCTAATATTTGTGAAGGTACAGATGACATTGTGATGACTGGCGTTGAAGCCCACATTGTTGGGTGTGCTCTGTGTGCCAGTCACTGGCTGTGTGTTCACTATCACAGTGAGTCCCTCCAACAGTTCTGAGGGGTTTTGTCATCTCTACATAAGAGACAAAGACACTGGGTCTTAGGGAGGCTAATTGCCAGCCCAAGATCATTCAGCTATCAGTGGGGGAGAAGGAATTTGAACTTAGACCATCTGCCTCCACACTATACTGCTAGACTAAATTTATTATGCTGTTTAGGAATTATTCAGTTAATTTTTATTCTCCTGCTAGACCCTGAGCTCCTTGAGGGCTGTGACCATGTCTCTGTCTTGGTTTCTCCAGTGTCTGGCACACTGCACAGTTTGATGAGCGGATGGGTGGTTGGGAGAGCATGTGTAAAGTCATGAATCCCAGTGGCCTTCTCCCCTGAGGAGCCTTTGATGCCCAAGGGGATGAAGGAAGAGGGGGTGAATTCCCAGGTCAGCCACATGCCTTCACATCTGAAGGGCAGAGCTAACTGTTCTCTGTGTGTTCTCTCCTCCCTGCCCACTCCTGGCACCTGGCCATGCGGATGGCAGATGTTTGCCGAAGAGGAGGCCGAGCTAACCCAGGAGACATCCCCAGCGAAGCTGCAGCAATATCGCCAGGTGCACCTCTTGCCAGGCCTGCGAGAACAGGGCTGGTGCGAGATCACTGCCCACCTCCTGGCACTGCCTGAGCATGATGCCCGTGAAAAGGTGCTGCAGACGCTGGGCGCCCTCCTTGCCACCTGCCGGGACCACTACCATAAGGACCCACAGCTCAGCAGGATGCTGGCCAGCCTGCAGGCTGAATACCAGGCGCTGGCTACCCTGGAGCTTCAAGGTGGCGAGGACGAGGGCTACTTCCGGGAGCTGCTGGGCTCCATCAACAGCTTGCTGAAGGAGCTGAGATGAGGCTGCCCCAGTGGGGGAATGGTCTGGAACGCTGCTAGTAAGGCTGAGAGGAACTTGCTTGGGTGGGTTCTTCAGGGGACAGCAGGCAGGAGGGAGGCCTGAGCATTATCTGGGCAGTGCTGGCCTGGCCATTAAATGGAGACATGAATGCCATTGTTTGTCTACAGTATGTCTGCAGCCCTGTGGTAGTCAGATGGGTTATTGGGTGATAGGTCCCTAAGCGCCGCTAGTGACATGCTGCATGGTCAGCCCAGAACAGCCAGCAAGTAACAGACCCTATGGGAAGGGTCTGGGCTCAAAGGTTGGGAAACCTTGACTGGGACCAGTAGTTCTATGACCTTGGGAAGTCGCTTAACTTCCCTGAGCCTCTTTCCTCATCTGTCAAAGGGGAATGCCATTAAATGAGAGAAAATAAAGGCCTATAAAGGACTACACTACCTCCTGTCACCTGTGCTTGTCCATTCCTCCACCCTGCTATGAGAGGAGGTCCGGGGATTGTATCCCTGTCCCCACTACCTTGTGCCCAAGTAATAGCTTTGAGGCCACTGGCCCTGGCAGAAGCCTGAGGGCATTACCACATGTAGGGATGCTGTGTCAGCCCGGGCAGCTAATGGGCTGGGCTGGAGTAATTGGTGCTGGTGCCTGGGTTGTAGAAAGATGCCGGGATGGCTTGCTGCACTCTGGAGGCCCTTGGGTGTAGTCCTAACTCTGGGAGAAGAGACATCTCACTGAAGCTGGTAGTGGGAGCCCAGACCTGCCTCTCTGTGCCCTTGCCCCTCTCCTGTGTTCATGCTGAGCTGAACAGAGCCCAAGGAGGAGGACTCAGAGGTGGGGGGCAGCCGAGCCTGGCAAGTCCTGGCCCCCACCCTGGTGAGACTGGGAGCCTGCTGCAGGTTGCCATGGCAACCCCCGCTCTGGGCCTTCCTGATTTGGATTCTGGTGCGTTTGTTTATCAGCCTTTCCCAATGCACCAGAGGCTCACTCCTGCTGCTCAGGCAGCCCCTCCCAGCCTCCATGTAGAAATCTCTTCCTAGACTTGCATATAGAAATCTCAGCTTCACTGAGCTGAGAGGAAACTGAGGCCCAAAGAAACATGGGGAAGTGGGTGCCTTACTTCCGTGCAGTCTCTTTGCTCAGCCTCAGACTCTCTCCCGCCCACCTCACGCCACAACACACAAGAAGCTTGGGAGAGAGCTTTTGCCTGCACAGAGCTCTCCCAGGAGGGCAGGAGGAAGCAGGAACCTGTTTCACCAGAGTAGGAAGCCTCAGAGCTCCGGCAGAGTGGGGAATCAAACCCAAAGTCTATCAAGTGTTGGGTACTGCTTCACTGCCTTTAACATCTCTCAGAAGCCTTCAAAGTACATTTTACAGATGAGAAAATCATGACTCGGAGAGGCTAAATGATCCACCTGAGGTCACAGAGCTTGCAAGTGGCAGAAGTAGAATTTGCTGGGCTGACCATGCCATGGAAGGCTTGAATGTGCAGCTCATAAGGGGATAGTGCTGAATTTGACAGGCATTGGTGAGAGACCCAGGAGAGACTGCACAGCAGGCTACGGTTGAGAAAAGAGGTGCTAGGGCCTTGCTAAGGCCAAGGTCAAGTCACTTTAAAGATGGGGTCATCAGATTCTGCAAGTGGATTTGAGAAAGGGGGAAGATGAGGCATGGGGGGATAGGGCTGCCTCAGCACATGCTGGGGGAGAAGAGAGCTTGGGTTCTGGCAGAGGTAAGCACCGAGGCTGCGGGAGCAAGTGCACTCTGAGCAAGGGTCCAGGGTGTGGGGAGCTGTGGAAGGACACCTTGTGAGGTCTTATGCATTAATCATCAGGCTAGGGAAGCCTAGAGCCCTTGAGGTCTCTACAACTACCAGGATCTGATCTGGGTTGTGGGAAGGAGTTATGCTAGTAGGAGCCTAATTGAATACCTTTTCTACCCTCTGGCATGCTGTAGAAAGGGGACTTGGGGCCACAAGTTCTTGTGGAGGGTCCCTGGGGCCAAGGTCAGAGTCACTGGGGGCTGTGGTAAGAGAAGCTAGACTAGTGCCAGGCTGCTGAGCCACAGGTCAGGCTATGGGGCTGCTGCTACCCTCCTTCTCCACATACAGACGAGGTCTCAGGGACGATTAAGTTTGGGCTATAGCCTTTTCTGTTTGGCCTCATCTGGGTTCATCCTGGGACTTTGACTGTCTGGTTCTGGGCCCTGTAGCAGACTCTCCTAGGAGACAGGCAGCAATGTGACCCAGGGCTGGGGCTCAGGCTGCTTGGGTGTTGGTTCTGGTTCCATCACTCAGTTCATCTTTGGTTGTTGTCTGCAGGTCTAGAAGGAACCCTTCTCTGTCTCCCCTTGGGTGCCATCCTGGGAACTGTGGCCAAGGAGTATGACCTGGGCTCGAACTTAGGCAGGAAATGGTAATGGGGGGCCAAAGCCCCCAGAACTTGAGGTGATGTGACTTCTTCCTACAAGGGCTGCTCTCCTCTCCTCCCACCCCTGTCACTTGGTAGAGGGCCACAGGGCTCTTGGCCTTCTGGCAAGGACTGGCTGAGAGCTATGACTGGCTGATACCTCATAGGCCCTTGGTTACCCACTCCTTGACTAGGTTAAACCAGGCCCTCTATGTGGGAGGATGACAGGGATGGGGAGTGGGGTAGTGGTCCTAGGTCCCCACTCCATCCCTCAGCAGGCTTGGTTTTTATTCACGCATTCTTTCATTCAAATTGTTTTTACTGAGCACTTTACTCAGCATCAGGCCCCAGGGTTCTGAGATTCGTAAGTCAGTCTGGTGTGAGCTGTACTTTAATGGGCGAGCCCTGGTCTCTTGGAGCCTAGAAGGTCCCTGACATAGTTGAGGAGGATGGGGAAGGCCTCAGCTGGTGGTAGCCAAGCTGAGACCCGAAGGATGCTCTAAAACAAGCCAGGTGAAATGGGGAAAGGGTTTCAGCCCCAGAAAGCTATGGAAAGTCCTGAGGTGAGAGAGAGTGGTCCATTTGAGGAACCCACAAGTTAGGGTAGCTGGAGGAAGTGATGGGGGTGAGAAGGCCAAGTGGCCCAAGGTGGAGCTGCAGGGGTCAAGGGGACCACACTCTAACACTTTGTCAGCCTTGCAAGGAGCATGCCCTAATCCTGGTGGAGTGGGGAACCAAAGGGAGGGTTTTGATTATTCTGGCTGCTGCTCAGTCATTCATTCACAAAACACATCTAATTTAGGACTAACTAGGAGCCAGGCTGTTCCAGGGCATGAAGTGGTAAGTACCGGGAGTGTAGACCATGACAAATAAGTATGTAATATGATGCTAGGCAGGGAGTGCTAAGAGTTATGAGGAAAAATAAGGCACGAGAAGAGGTTGAGTGTTAGGGAAGGGCCCCCTGAGGAGGTACAGTGTGAACAGAAAGAGAGCGAAGCACTGAGCCATGTGGAGATCTGCGGAAGTGCTTTGGAGACCAAGCGATAGTAGAGGGAAAAGTCCTAAGGCAGGAACATGGCTGGAGTGTTGGAAGAAAGCAAGAGTCAATGGAAGGGAGAGTAAGTAGTAAGCAGCAAGAGGAGGTCGGATCTTGGCAACTCTCATAAGGACGGAAGTTTTTTCTTTGAGATGGGAGCCATTGGACAGTTGTGAGCAAAGGAGAGATGATATGACTGACATTTTAACAGGATCACTCTTGTTGCTGTGGTAAGAGACGAGACAGGGGCAAAGATGGAAGCAGGAGCCCAGTGCAGGGTCCGCAGCATCCAGATGAGCGTCCATGAGGTTTGAACCAGGGTGATGGTGATAGAGACGTGGTGCCAAGTGCTCAGACTACAGATATGTTTTGAAGATGGAGCTGAGAGGACGTGCAGACTCACTGCATGTGGCATGTGAGGAAGGAAGAGTCAAGGATGAAGCCTCATTAGGGGGCTTGAGCAAATGGGCATTTGGAGGTACTATTTACAAAAGTGGGAAAAAAGATTGAGACGTTATGGTGGACATTGTTTTAGGCGTGTTTTATTGAGAAGTCAGTCGGATATTCAAGTGAGGATGTTGAATAGGCAGCCTAGGGAAGAGGTCACAAGTGAAGAGGGAAACATGGAAGAAGTGTGTGCTACAGCTGGCTCATAGCAGCCCATGAGCCATGTGGGTCTCAGAAACATTGCAAGCTGGTTATTAAGCAGTCATTATTAAAAATCAAATTATATAAACTTACAATTAATATATTTGAAAAGCAATGGTCATTTTTAAAAACTGGTAAAAGAAGAGCAAATTAAACCCAAAGAAAGCAGAAGGAAAGGAAATAATAAGAGCAGAAAACAATAAAATTGAAGACATAAAAACTGGAGAAAATCAATGAAATAAAAAGATGGTTCTTTGAAAAAAGAAGACACAAATTACCAATATCAGGAATTAAATAGGGGATATCATTATAGACACTACAGGCATTAAAAGAATAATGAATACTACGAACAACTCTAGGTCCACAAATTTGACAACTTAGAAGAAATGATGGTTCAATTCCTTGAAAAAAACACTGCTCTAACAAATTAGTATGAGCTTAGTGCCTTAAAACAATTCAAATTGTAGGTCAGAAATCTGACACAGTTTTCACAGTGCAAAAATCGAAGCCTTCAAAGGGGCTACTCTGAGAGGATCCATTTCCTTGCCTTTTCCAGCTCCTAGAGGTTTCCCGTGTTCCTTGGCTTATAGGCCCTTCCTCCACCTTCAGTGACCACAAAAGCAAGTCAAATGCTCATGGACAACACTCTGATTCTTTGGCCTACCTTTTCCACTTTACGGCCCCTTGTGATAACATTGGGCCCACCTGTATAACCCAGAATAATCTCCCTATTTTAAAATCAGTTGATGAAAAACCTAATTCTCCTTTGCCATATAGCATAATATATTCACAGGTTCTAGAGAGTAGGATGTGGACATCTTTGGGGAGCCATTCTGCCTCTCACAAACACAATCTACCAAAACTCAAGAATAGATAGATAACCTGTATCATCCTATATCTAGTATAGACATTGAATTCATAGTTTAAAACCTTCTCACAAGGAAAACTCCAAACCTAGAGGTTTCACTGACAGATTCTACCAAGTAATATCAATTTTATTTTATACAATCTCTTCTAGAAAATAGAATAAAATACTCCCAAATTCATCTTATGAGACCAGCATTATTCTGATACTAATACCAAAGACATTAAAAGAAAAAACTCTATAGACCAATACCCCCCTCATAAGTGACAAGGACAAGGTTTTGGGGAGGAAAGATCTTGGAGGCTATGGAAAGGACTTTAAATTTTTCGAAGGTCCATACCAAAATGCAGAACTCAACAGAATATTAGCAAATCAAATGTAGCAATATAGAAAAGGGTGCTACATCATCACCAAATGGGGTTATCCTGGGAATGCAAAGCTAATTCAACTCAATTCTAATATTAACAGAATAAAGAAGAAAAACAG